CAAATATTCAAATGTTATTTCTACAATAATTTATTCCTGCGCGCTTTCTGGTCGCGTCACATGCTTTCTCTATCTCCTATACTTCACAAATTCTAAAAGAGTGTCATTCTTTTCTTTTATTCAATACTTGAAAGTTCAAAGGTTTTAGACATTATTAAAAATTAACGGGAAAAGCGGAACTTCACAAAAGTGTGACCAATAATCAATTCTACAGTTATCGCTACACGTCAGACTTCAGCTTTAGAGGTAGCGATTGAATAAGAAACGGAAATCCAAATTTTTCCGTTGTCAGACGATTATTTAAGGAGTAATTGCCGATATCTACTCATTTTTCATACTTTTTTTGGAAATTTACCGGAAACTTTGGATCAAATTGAAAGAATATGCCGTTTTTAACTTTTATCAATATTTAATGATAAATTTTGGTAGACGTATGGTTAATTTTCGAAATTTCTGGTAAAGTTTTGCGAATTTTTGCAAAAGTTAACTGGGAATGTAGGGAAATTTTTCCAATGTGGTGAAAGTTCAAGAGATATTGAATAATAATAAAATTTGAAAACTGTGAATTTTTTTACGGAAATTTTATCAACCGTTTCTTGAAAATTTATAAAAACTTTATAAATTAAAAGATATCAGGAATAACTCCGTAAAATCCAATAGTACACCGAGAGAAAAATTTAGGAAAATGTAGTAAACCTATTTGTTAGCGACCAAAAATTGTTGTTATTTTTACTGAACTAGATTGCAAACAATGAAAGATATTTTTTCAATATCTTAATATGCAATAAAAAAATAATTACTTGAGGCTACCAAATATGTTTCTAAATTGAATGCACCCTCAGGCATATTTCAACAAACATTCCTTTCACATTTTTTTGCAAGAATTTTTGCAATTACGTAAAGTTACAATTGCACTTCAAAATATCGACTAGTTATTCTAAACGAATTTATTCAATTCAATATTTAGCACTCACCATCCCATATATGCTTGTAACTATTATTAATTTAATTTGTCATTTTCTAAACAATTATTTCAATTTTTGTCTTGAGTTTATAAAAATTTTGATTTTGGAAAATAATCGCTGGACAACAGAAAAACATAGGATCCAGTCTCGTACTTGAATGGTAAATTTAATTATCCCTAAAGAGTAATATATTAATATAATACAATATTTATGTACGACAAACTGATCAATAATATAATGATCAAATATCTTGAAAGGGTCAGGCAAGTAAATTTGATATTCCAGTTTTCGAAATGTCACGGCGTTTGTATGAATTCAAGCGATTGTTATCAAAGTTTCGACCTGCACTGGACATTGTTTCCCAGTGATAAACATCAGTGCTATTTTTGCTTCATCACAATCCTCATGGAAAAACAAAGAGTCCATGTTTTTTACTGTTCGTCGTGCCGTTACTGACGGGTCATACAGGAGTAGCTCCGATTGGCGCACCGAATTATTTGATTACTGAACACTGAAATATAAAATACACAAATAAATACTAATATAATAAAATAGTATAATAAAAATATTAATTAAATTAAATAGACTAATACCGAGGACAATATATCAATCTTGATGGCGGAATATGAATTGAACCTTTTGCTAATTGATAATTCTATTTGAATAATCAATTGTCATTTGAAAAACTTTTAAAAAAAGGGAATGGCAATATTATCCTTCCAAGTGAGTTGTAGCTATACTAAAATATTGATTACTCGCCTTTAGTATCTCTTTATAATTCATAATATAGGGTAAAATGGAGCGACTCACGGATAATGAATCGTTTTGACGTCGACAGTAATTGGTAGTGGGATGTATAACTTAAGCTTTAACACAACATTTTCCCTTTTTCAGATAGACAAA